CCCTCCCCCCCCCCCCCCCCCCCCACCCCACCCCCAACCCCAACCCCAACCCCAAACTTGTGTCTCGGTATCTCCAGCCCGAGCCAAACCGCGATCTTCACCGTTCCTTCGTCCGCCTATCTGAGGCTGCAGCAGATTATCGTGGGATACCTACCCGTACCCGTCTCGAACGTCACCAGTGCCGCATACACTTTCTTCCACGCTTCGAACCTGCTTGCTCTTCACCTAATCAAAAGCGCACACCCTGAGTGAGAGAGGTAAGGAAATTGGAATCTTATTACCCTCGTCGACACCGACACCGACACCGACACCGACACCGACACCAACGACGACGACGGCTCACTCTTGCCTCGCCGGCGCTCCCTGCCCACAGCTGCCCTTTCTAGCGCTAATTGATGGACTGTTAGACAAACCCCCCCTCCTTTCTCTCGAGAGTGTCCGGAAGTCATCAATCGCCCTCTGCGCCAAGGACGATAATCCCTCGTGGCAGGCAGCGTAAGAACTTGCGAATAGACTCCCAAACCTGTTCAAGAGTTTCTGGTCATACAGCCCTTTCAGCATCCGCCGAGTAGAGAATTCTGTTGCTTCCGATCATCGCGACAATCTCAGCCGAAGTGAGTGCGCTTTCTTACCGAGTACTGTATTATGCGCGTATCCTTCAAGTCTTGTCACCGCTAGGGAGGGCGCAGGCATCCCCGCATAGCAATTGCTGTCCAAAAACTTTTGTCTCTTTCATGCGCCTTGCGCCGAGAGGCTGGTCCAGATTTTCTTTGATTGCTACATGTCTAAAATCTGCTGGCGCTTCTATACCTACCACAGTAACTAACGTTTGTCACACATTTTAGATACATCAATTGTGCCCTGCATCGACTCGACAAACACCTACCCGCCATATACTGATAGCTGCATAAACCCTCGTTGGACCTGGTCAAGGAGTGAAAATGGCCGGCACGGGCGCGTCCAGCCCATTCATCAAGGAAGAACCTGAAGATCAGTACTATCACTCTCACAACGATCAAAGGTTCATGGCAGGTGCGCCGCAGAGCTACGTCCCTCAGCAGCAGCACTTCGGACAATTCGGAAACCCTCACGGAGGCAGCATCAACCCGAACGACCTCACGATGGCCGGAAATGGTGTGGCTATTCCAAACGGCGCTTATGGGTCATCACCCTTCGGTTATGCCAACAACCACAGTGGCCGAGGCCAATTTGGTGATGATGAACTACTCGATAGTCTGGAGCCAAACAGCATACATTCTAATCATCAAGGGATGCACGTTAACGGCAGCCATGGGATAAGTTACGACATGCCAGCCAACACGATGTACCCTATGCACAATGGAACGCCCGCTTTGTCGGCAGACCCGAACAACTTCAACAATTACTCGAATACTCCAGAAGGCGACCCTATTCAAAGCCCATTCGTGAGCAACTTCAATCACGCCCAGTTCCGCATGCAACCTCAAAACGCCTTTGGAAACTCGCTACATTCAGGCTCGTATGCCGGCTCACCCATTATCGGGTCGGATATGCACAATGGCTTGGCGGATGCAGGTGGCTTCTCTAAACAGCAACGGCCCAGGCTGAATGCCACTTTAGGAAGGAAGGGCTCTAACAGAAGCCCTCTCACGCCAAAGACGACTTCCAACATGGCCGCCCTTCAGTTAGGGTCGACGGAGAACGCGAATTTCGGAGCTCAGCCTATTCGGACGCATTCATCTCATCGACACCAGAAGACACTCTCTGATCAGTGGAACCAGACCGCCAACAGTCTTGGGTCATTTCCTGGCTCCGAATTCTCACCAATGCATACCAACCATCCCACAACTCAGATCTCCGATGTCCTGAAAGGAGCTTCGATGCCGGCAAAACTGAACAATGGCCATTCTGTGGGTAGCGCTCCTGCTCTCCAATCGCAAGAACTGAAACGGAGGAGACGGCGAGAGTCTCACAATCTCGTAGAACGCCGGAGACGAGACAACATAAATGAGCGCATCCAGGAGCTGAGTCATCTTGTCCCAATGCATCGTCTTGAGGACGAAAAAGTACGAAAGGCGCTCCAGAACAACTCTCCACTGTCTCCAACTCTTGCTGCCACTGGCATGAGTCCTCCACAGGCCACCTCGGGTCTGGCTGGACCTGGTGCCCGCCGAGCGACCGCTGGGAATATCACTACGGGAATACCCATCGAAGAGAAGGACAAGGGTCCTAACAAAGGGGATATCCTCAATGGTGCGGTGAGCTGGACTCGCGACCTCATGTGGATGCTGCACACAAAGATCCATCAAATGGAAGAGCTCAACAACTACATCAACGACCTGGGTGGGAAGTTCCCTTTCCAGCAGTCCGAGAATGAGAAGCGGATGCAGACGGAGCTGATGGATGCAATGATAAAGAACGACTCGTCCACCTTCGAATACTCCCGAGCACCTGGTACTGGCCTACGTGTTCCAAAACATACGGATGTCAGAGGAGATGCTCTTGGTCGTACGGATACCTCCATGAGCCCCGACAATGGGGCAGATGCAGGCCTGGGCGGCGCCGGTCAATACTGGAGTGGTCAGAACAGTAGTGGGCCCGGCTCGATCAGCTTTAAAGAGGAGGATGAGTACGGAATGGACCTCACGCAATGAGTATCATTAAGCTGATGGCATCTGAATCGAGTATCGACGACAGGTTCCATCTGCCCTGTGGACATACCGTTTGAGTTTTGGGGGGGGGGGGGGGGGGGTGTCAACATTTTCAACTCTTCGGGCGTCTTGCGTTTCGCATTGAGGGGTATTTTGGAGCCGAGATAGCATGGGTTGGCTGGCGTTGCTCGCAGAATACGAGTCTAGCATGTGGGCACTTCAGGGTTTCGGGTTGGAGAATTTGTCGTTGGCTCTGGGACACAGCATTCACATGGTTTTCTGCATTGGGTTTCTGCACTTGTTCTGATTTTGAATTCTGCTCTATGATACCTTGCATTGTTTGGTTCTGCGCGTGTTTGCAGCCCTCGAGGGTTATCGTTTAGGAATTGTGCTATATATCTAGCTAGCTGCTGTGCCTCTGCCTTATGCAGAGACCTGCTATTTTTTAATGTAACCCGTCACATCTCGATTTTTGGAATTTCTGTGTTGTGCATTTGCCATGCTGGACAAACTTGATCCTGAACAAACGAGTATTTTGGCAGACAGACATCTGTCAGTCGCCGGGTCTAGTCTCTAGACCGACACCCGGTGAGCGTAATCAGTAAGGTGATGCGATTTGGATACCTCGAAGATTTCTTAGGGAGTGCTGATACTGATGCTGACATTCAGGCTGATCCGATCCCCCAACCTCTTCCCGACCTTTTGGGATACCGCACCGACCGACAAGAACACGTATCGACCGTATCATGAATGGCCAAGGGTCCAGCAGCAGCAGCAGCAGGAATCGCATAGGTCCTTCTGCCCCCATCTCTCTCTCTCTCTCTGTCTCTCAATCCCTCTCCGTATCACCATCACCATCACCAACCTATCGTCATTGTCACGCAATCACCTAATCACGCGCCCACCCGGCAAACCGACGGGGGAGGGGGGGAGGACGAAAAATAGAAAAACAGGAAAAACTGGGAAAACAAACAGGAAACAGGAAAAACTGGGAAAACAAACTGGAAACTGGAAACTGGAAACTGGAAATGAGAGGGGGGGGAGAGAGAGGCAATACGGTAGGTACCTAGGTTGGTAGATACCGTAGGTAGTGTAGGTCGACGTACGTATAGCTGTGTGGCTGACGGGTGCTGGGTGGGTGGGTTTACCACCTGTTGGCATCACATGGGTGGTGAGGCTGTATCGTGTGTGTGTGTGTGTGTGTGTAGTGTGTGGTGTAGTGTGTGGTGTAGTGTGTGGTGTAATGTGTGTGTGTGTGTGGGATGTGTGCGTGATGATGAGTCATTGTGTGGCTGATGGGCTTGGTGGGTGTACTGTGCTCTGTCAGAAACGAAAAGGGGAATGATGTGTCTTGTCTATCTGGGCTGAGCTGGGCTGAGCTAGGCCGGGATGGGATGGGATGGGATGGCATATGGGAAAGGAAGGAAGGAAGGGATGGGAGGATTTTATTACTGGTAGAGGAAGGTTGGAAGGGGATGGGGCGGTTAGTGCGCAGGAATGCGGTAAAGGAAGGAAGGACTGAGGCGACTATGTAGCTAGAGAGGTATTATCATCTACCTGTCGAGGTTATAGGGGGGTGTATGTGTGTATGTGTGTATGTGTGTATGTGTGTATGTTGTGTATGTTGTGTAATGTATGCTCCCTCGCCTGGCGACGAAAAACCCTTCATGATCGGCGTGGCGAAGATGCGCTATCATTCATCCCATGGGACTCACGCTATCCGTCTTCACCGCCACAGTGGACAACAGTCGGTGTCCCCGGCTCATACACAGATGCCCTCTCACCAGTGCCTGCAAACCAGGAGATGCTCTTGGTAGTTCATCAGTATGCCCCACGTCTCCTTGCGCTTCATGTTCTCCCGCAGGGCGATCATCTCCAGGGCCTCCGTCCCATTAAAGTACTTTGCGAACCGCTGCCAGCACTCCTTGGCCTTCGGCTCCGCAAAGCGCTTCCCGAGCGCCGCGATGTAGAGCGACTCTTCGTGCGACACCTTGTGCGGATCCCTGATGATATACGGGGCTATGTTCTTCAGATGCTCCGCTCTATTCTTAGACGGGTAATCCGTCGCGACGGGAGCAGGCATCTTTGCAAACTCCGCCGCCTCTTCGGCAGCCTGCTTGGCGACCTTATTAGCGAGTCGCTCCAGCCGCGCATTCTCGGCTACCTGCTCCGTCGTCAGCGGAGCGTTGCGATCCAGGGTGCGGTTCCTGTCTGGATTCGACTCGTCGGTTGATTCCGACTCGGCAGACTCGCTTGAGCCGGTACGGGACTTGATCCCCTTCTTTGCCTTCTCGATGGCGTCGGAGCGGAGCTGGTACGCGACTTCGTAGATGATCTCTGGCCAGACGAGGATCCACGCGAAACTGCGGAGCTGCGTCACCCAGCCGCCGCGGATGAGCCAGGCGAGCATGTCGAGGTAGGTTGGCCGGTGGTCTTTGCTGGGTGCGTGGATCTTGTATTGGCGAGGTGCTACGGAGAGGGTAGCCAGGAAGTTGGAGAGAGAGGGCGCGAGGGGGAAGGCTTTCTTCCATGCCAGGCTTGCCACGGGGAGCTTGCGGTTGTCGCAGTTGGGGGAGACGATGTAGATTTCGCGTGCATGCAGGGGTGGGATGGCGACGGCTCGTCGGTATTGGATGAGGTGGTTGGCAAGGATGAGGAGGCTTCCGACTTCGATGGAGTTGATCTGGGCTACTTGAAGTAGGGATAGAGTGGGCTTGCAAAGCCGGATACACTCTATGAGTGGTGCGGAGAGTTCGGTATCGTCTGCTTGGATTTCAGGGATGATTTTGCTTTCGTCGTCGAGAAGGAGGAGAGCATAGTGCTTGTTGATATAAGAGGGGTCCTCGACCCCTTCCTCGTCGATGTAGGGGTTTGCCGAAGTGAGAAGCAGGCCGGGCATCGCCTTCTCATTAAAGGTCGGTATGCTAACGAGGAACGATGGAACTGGAATTTGGAGTGATATATCTTCTGGCGGTTTACTTCGAACAGGAAACGTCACGATCTTGTTCCCGGAGATGGCAGTAAATACGTCTCGCAGTATGCCAGCAAGCGTTGACTTGAGCAGTATCTCTGTCCACAGCCAACTCATCGGACGCCCTAGCGAGGTGTAAGTACCAGATTTCAAGCGATTTGAGTCCGTACCCACTCTCTTCCCGAGCCTTCTCCTTCATCAAGAGGATCATCTCCGATTCCTTCCACACATAATTAGCAGTAGCCTGGGCGTGCTTCATCGCCTTGTTAAGTTTCTTAATAACATGCTCATATATCGTAAGAATCCGCTCATCAGCTTCGTCTTTAGCAACATTGAGAATGAAAACCACATTAAACATCGTCATCCCTCCGTGATCTTCCCCGTTCTCCGAAGCATTCTCAGCCGATGTCGCGCTGGTGGATCTGTCCTTCCCATCACTCTGGACGGACCTGGTCTTACTCGAAGCCTTCGTCTCCGTATCAACCCCCTTGCTCTTTTTCGACTTCTTCAGTTTCTTGTTCCAAAGCCCATTCGGATAGACATGCATCGGGTACGAAACGAAATAGAGTGGATCCAACGACAGCTCGAACCTCTTCTTGTGATACGCTCTCGACGGTGTCAAGATACTCTCTAAATCTGTAGTATAAAAGTCAAACAGGCGCTCCCAAGGAACAACATGCTCGCCGTTCCTGGTATCGTAATGGTCGTCTCCTTGGACAGGCTCCACGTGATCTCTCTTCTCGGCCGTCTCGCTCATGTCTAGGCTTTGAACTTTGCCGGCGATTCCACTGTCTTCGAGATCGGAGCTATCTGTCGGTGGGACATCCTCTTCGGAGTCGCTCTCGTCGAGCTCGGTCCCGTAGAGGGTCTTGCGGCGGGAAGCCTTGGTATCAGGATGTGGTGGGTAGTGGAAAACGAATCGCGGGCCGTCGCGAGATCTTATGACGAGGGCGATGGATATTAGGCCGGACTCCATCAATGATGTGGGATATGCCATTTATATGGTAAGATATTTCTCGTTGAACGATAGCGGGAGAAGTGCCTGGGGGAAGTTCTGGGTTTGTTGTAGTGGCCGAATCGAAGTGAATGTCGGCAGATTGACGGGCCGTGCATGGAAGCGAGATTCCCCTTTTGCTGTGATCTTGTATGTTTTTTTTTATTTTTTGGGTAAAAATCCACTAGCTCTGGAGTAGCAATTACTCTGGCTGAGGACATGACTTGTTACCTTGTCTGAGGAGGAACCACTGCACGTTGTCAAATGTAAGAGATTTAATAAATATTTATTTAAATGCATCTCAGATCTGAGCCATGCTGTAATCCTGCGGTGGTATACTCCGTACGACGCCTCTATTCCCAACGCCATACAACAATAAAGACCCGCTTCAAAATCCAGTATCGAGGGAAACGAAGTCCCCAACGAATTTGTCATAAGTTCATGAGTTCCATCATCCAATGAATACCGGCATCCTACTCCCCTTCAGATCAGACGGTACGATCATCGAATCCGCCTTATCAAAAAGTCATGCAGCAGCATCCAGCACAACATTCTAAATATCAACGAGATCCAAATCAGGTTCTTCTCGTCCTGCTCTGTCTTAGTCCCCGTATTCCCAACTACAGCTGGACGGATCTCTTGAAAATAGTAAGTCATGAACGCGACTTCCTTGTTCGCCAACACAATTATGTTCAGAGGCGAGACTGGGTTCTCGAGAACCTCCATGACTTTCGCGACGTGTGCCACCAAGATATTCAGGACGTCGACTTGCCGAATCGAAAGTAGAAATGTAGTCTGTTTGTCAAGCGCATCATGAATGGCTTCGCGAGCTTCGAGACCAAGTTCTGCTTCGTCGCCGCAGTTGAGCTCAGTTATTCGCTTCCATTGTGTGCTGATCTTGGAAAGAGGATTTTCGTACGGAAGTCCTTCTGTAGTGATAAAGCTGGCGAGACGCTTCTGAAAAACCTCCATAATACTGGTTATTCTCCAAGAGGCTTTGGCACCAATATTCTTGAGCCACGAGTCGGCTGTGGGATTGGGAAGCATACGGAAGTTGGAGCCACGAATGCGGAAGACTTTGCTGAGCATGTCAATGATTTCAAAGGAAACTACATTCATGTGAGCTTGTTTGATCATGTCGAGAACGCGGAAAATACCGGAGAAGATCTGCTTGCGGTCTTTCTTGTATCTTTTCAGCGTCTCGACTTGACACCCGAGGGATTCGAGCGTTATCTCCACATCCTCTGGAGATCCAAAGACGAGTTCAAGGCTTTGCGTCTCTTTCTCGCGGTCTAGGTACGAACCATCTTCAAAGATGTTTGGCACAGTACCAAATGCCAATTGTTTGATTGCTACGCATGGGATGACTCTGTTTGCCCTAAAGCTGGGTGTATCAGTGCTGGCAAACGCCACCATCACACCCAGCCCATGAACAGTAGTCGAAGTCAAGATAAAGCCATTCCCTTCTGCTCTTAGATTCCAAATTGATTGGCCGAAGACTTTCCAGTACAGCCCGAGCATAGACATCATTTCAACCAAATGACAAATAGCAGATTTAGCATATGGCTTCGTGATTGATGAAGGTATAAATTCCCATGACCGAGTCTTGCCTTGTAGCCCAACCGTAAGCACATATTCCCGGTCTTGAGGTCTTGTACAGCCATCCCGCAACGGCTTGAGCGTCCGCATTTCCGCATCCCATTCCCTAGAGAGCTTCTCCTGCAATTGGAGGGCAGACAAAAAAGTGACCCAAGACGCTTTCTCGTCATCCGCGGTGTGAACTCTCGCCGTACTTTCCATCTCCTCCTGTTTCTGGGCCATTGGCTGCAAGACCCTTGTGTTCGTATACGATGTTTCCGTGCCATCGATATAGTGTATTGTCCTGCCTGGTATAGGGCCTCTCATATTGGATGGCTTTGCGACAAAAATGACGGGAGTCTCGAAGACGACCTCTATCCTAAATTCTCGCAGCCGTAGTTTTCGATGTGTACCCTGAGCCCACAGTCCCATTACAGAGGGCGCACATCTTCGATAACCATCAGCACTCGAAAAGTACTGCTGTAGGACCTGCAGCACGGTGGTGAGGAGAGCCACCAGGGAAACGACCAAAGCCGTAAAGCCAAAGACATTCTGATTGATGTTATCGAAGGTCATCGTAAGGCTGCGGTAGGGAGGAGCAGGACGCTCTGAACAACGATTAATAGAAAATGCGGATGTGTATGTATTTACTTCATTCGAATGGGCGTTATCGAAACACAGTAGAGCAATAGAAATGGATTTTTGTAACAAAAATGTAGCATAGTACAAAGTAATCTGTTCGACGGCACTGCCTTGTCGTTGCAGCCCCTAATAGCTCAGCCGTTCCGATCTGCAGAGACACAAGAGCGGCTGAAGAGGGGAGACCGCCCCCATCTTACCATTATTTGAGGAGGAAATCTTTTTGATTATCTTTTGTACATCGTGAGTTGGAGGTACAACTCTATGATATCAATGAGCTTTGGATGTGCAGTGTAGCGTAGGTAGAAACGTCCTTGATGAATGAAAACACTGGGTCCGGGAGTACTTCACAAGCTTTCCAGGGCCGAGCCTAGCGCATTTCACGGACTAGTTGTACACCTACCGGTACCTCTCAACCAGTCGAGTTGGCCTGAGCAAGATATTGGCAACGTCTTCATGTCCGAAGAAGTTGAGACGAAGTGGGTTCGAAGACTTCGTATGTAGCTGAAAGTGAGAAACCACAAAGCACTGCCCGCTCATTGCTAGCAGACGATTCATAGCACCATAATATCCTCTAATCCTTAGAATCCTCTAATCCTTAGAGAGCAGCCATCCCAACCATTCTAAGCAGCCACCAGTAGACGACGAGCTGCCTGCCAACGCAGCGCTAGGCTGGCTAGCAATACTGGATGCTCCTCCCGCCACAATGGTAAGCCCGCTTGATGTGGCTAGTAGCTAGTAACGCTGGATTTTTCAGCAACGGCTGTGCTAAACACTGATATGAGGTGAGGTTGAGTGGATAACAATCCTGATCAAAACGAAAAGAACATAAAGCCCTGGCCGCAGAGCTACCGGTAGCTGTTGCCTGAGGCTATAATTAGCTGTAAGTAGTAGTAGTAGTAGTAGTAGTTGTAATTACGTAGTTGTAAGGAGAAGTATTAGGTTGCAGCACGGGGCATTGACGTCATCGCGGGGTGAACAGGTGACCAGCATCTTTCAACCTTTGATTAAAATCATGATGGGAAACACCACACCGACACACTGAATGTGAGTCCTCCAGGCGAGGATGGTGATGGTGATGGTGAAGGTGAAGGTGATAGGGAGTCAGAGAGAAATTTCCAGGCATTTTTTTCTTTCTTCTTTTTTGTTTTCTCTTTATTGTTCTTTTCTTCTTCTTTTCTTCTTTTTTTTTTGAAGCCAATACTTAACAAGACTTGCGGGTATGCATGATGATGGCGCTCCTCTCAGCTGAGCTTGGAACATCTTGATCGGTATACCGGTAGATACCTACTACGTACTACTACATACTATGTAGATACCGGTACATAGAGGGATAGACCCTGCCTGCCAGGCTGCACTGGATAGCGACCCAATAATAAATCCTCGCCGTCCAAGCAAGCAAGTCCTGCCCAACAGATGTTGAAGGTAAATTGCGAACCCCCCCCAGCCACTTCTGACTGTCATCCCAAGTTCTCTCCGTCCCCTCAGTCACCCACCATTCCACCATCCCACCATCCAACCAACCCATCCTCCACCTCTCTCAGTCTCACCGCGGTCATCCATCACTGTCACCAAAACTCAGTCAGCTACCTACCTACCTACCTACCTACCTACCTACCTACCTACTTTGCAACCACGAGTACTCCGACCAAATTCAAAACTCGTCCGCGCTCCTAACATCATAAGCCTCAACCACACACACACGCACACTCAACTCTGGTTCCATCGCAGATCCATAGCCTGGTCACCACAGGGACTACTCCCCCCTTCAAGCTCCAGCCTCACCGAGGAATACCCTCACCATCCACCATGTCGTCCTTCGATTACGATGACAGCCGGCACTCGCATCGCTATCATGATCGCAGGGATAGGGACGACCGCGAGCCTCGATACGTTGAAACCCACGAAGCCTACGTGCGCTCCCCAGTAGCTGTTCCCGATCCTCCTTACTCGGTCAGAACCACGGAGATGGTTCGTCGTCCTGTTCGTGAAGACAGCGACCTGTCCATCGAAGAAGTCAGAAGAGACTTTCCGCCACCGGTCTCGGCCACTTATCACCAGCGTGCCATGGTTCGAGACGATCGGTACGGCCCGCCAGTCCGCTCTCGTTCAGCCGACCGTGGTTCACCATATCGAGGGGGGGCGTATCCAGATCCAAGACGCTCGCACAATGATCTGGACGATCGTAGACGTAGGACTTATATCGAGCAAGAAAATGTCAAGCCTCGCCGCCGATCCCTTTCTCGAAACCGGAAGATTATTGCTGCAGTCGGAGGAGCCGCCCTAGCAATTGGTGGCAAAGAACTGTGGGACCGCCAACAAGCAGACGGTCGCCCCATCTCCCGGAATCCCCTCGAAAGCGCTGCTGTCGGTGCCGCAGGTGCATTTGCTGCTTACGAAGGCGCTGAACTCTATGCCAAACACGTTGGTGGAGCCAAGTCTGAGCAGAAAGTGAAGACCTATGTTGCTCATCGCGGTCGGAAGGGCGAAGCTGAGGAGTACTATTCATCGGCCGATGAAGAGCCAGTCAAGCCAAAGAGATCAAAGAGCCGCCGCAAGTCCATTGTGGAAGGTGCTCTAGGCCTTGCTGGTCTTGGCGCGGCTGCGAAGTCCACAGGCGGAAGCAGAGCACGCAGCCGGCGTGGAAGTGACAGCGACTACGACTCTCGGGATCGTCGTGATCGTTCTCGAAGTGGTCGCGGCAGATCTCCCGAGGGCGCAGCGATGTTCCAACAAGCCGCCAAAGCCGCTTTGTTGGCCGGTGCTACCGAAGCTTTTCGAGTCAGAAACGAGCCTGGAGGCTGGGCAGGAGACAAGGGAAAGCGTATCCTTACCGCCGCCATTGGAGCTGGCGGTATTGATGCAGCAGCCGATCGTGACCCCGACAAGAAAAGCAAGCGCCACATTCTCGAAGCTGTGGTGGGAGGCCTCGCCGGAAACCGACTCATCAACGGCTCCAGAAACAACATCGAAGATGACGGGCGCGGATCAGTCAGATCTAGGTCTAGGTCTCGCTCTCGATCGAGAGGCCCGGGAGGTGGTCCATCAACCGGTCCGTTGGCTGCCCTGGCCACCGCAGGTCTGGGGGCAATTGCTAGCAAGAAGCTTCTAGACCGTTCTCGATCCAGATCTCGAGCTGGGGGTTCTCGAAGACGCAGATACAGCTCAGATTCCTACGATAGTCGAAGCCCATCCCCAAGACGTGGTGACAGGAAGGATCGTCACAAACGAAGCAAGAGTGTTACAGACTATGCTAGAAACGGTCTTGCAGCTCTTGGACTCGGAGGAGCAGCTGGAGCAGCAGCAAGCGATAGACATCGAGACCGGGATCTAGTCGAGGAGACAACTACTGTACGCAAGTCACGCCGTGGTGGCGGAGGAGAGTCTGACTACGGTGGATCAAGACGCTCCCGAGATGTGGACTACAACGATTCTCGCGACCCATATGGAGACTCCAGATATGCTGAGTCGCGGGCAAGCAATGTCGGATCGCGGAGTGGTGGTAGGCGTCGCAGCAAGGGCGGATCGCATAGAAATAGGGACAAGGCAGAAGGAAGAAGATACGCATCGGATTCGGAAAGCAGCTTGGGATCCTCGTCAGGAGACGAGAAGCAGTTCAAGAAAATGAAAGGTAAGCAACTTGTTACGGCCGGTTTGGCCACCGTTGCCACCATTCATGCTGCGCACAACGTCTATCAGAGCATGGAGAAGCGAGAAGCACGGCGCAAAGCTGTGGCGGAGGGAGACATGTCACCCGAGGAGGCGCGGAAGCTCAAGGCAAAGGCCGCCCTTCAAGATGTCGCATCTGTTGGCATTGCTGCTCTTGGTGTCAAGGGAGCATACTCCGAGATCAAGGAGGCCAACGAGATGCGGCGGGAGTGCAAGGAACTCCGCGAGAAGAAGGAAGAACGTCATCAGAGACGACTTCAACGACTACAAAATGGGTCCAATTTTGCTCGTCATTCTCATTGGGAAGCTGGCAACGAAGTTGCTAGCCGCAGATCCGAGCGTGGCCCAGCACCCAGCGTTTATCTCTATGATGACTACGGGCCTCGCTACGTCGACTCAAACCCATATACTGCCTCCTTACCTGCACCTCCAGTCGGTTATGATCGGAATTAATCCATCTTCACGAGCTACGCTTCTTTGTCTTTCGCTGCCACAGCCAGCGGCTCAAGCTTTGCGCATCTTCAGATCAAGATGCCACGAGAGATTGGTCACGAGAGACTTTTTCGTTCTGGTTCCACGCTTTCATGATTGATGACTTTCACGATGAGCAACTTGCCCACATATACATATTCCTGTTCCGATGATAATACCTACATTGCGTCATTCTTTTCCTTAATTACAAGCTGGAAGGAGAAATATACCTTTTACACTACCCTTCGCGCAAGCGTATCAAACTCTAGAAAGAACCTTAACTGATAACTACCTATTGGGAACAGCTCCACGCCACTAAGCAAACTTCATGCTGCTGCAAGTGATCCCGAACGCTTGCACTTGTAACCCCATCGCACACACGCTTTCCGCATGGAGCCGAGCGCCGGATCGGCATGGAATGGGATTGGTCTATGAAAGCGGGTAGTGGGTAGTGGGTAGTGGGAAGTGGGATTTGTTTCTTCTTTTGGGATGGCACGGGCGGCAACACAACAGACACGTCTAGTACAACGTACGTACGTAACGTGGGAGGAATGCAAAGGAAGGGAAGGAATCCTGAATCAGGATGGATGGATGGCTAGGATGAGGGAATTGCTGGGTGGACTCGCTGCGGGCATGGATTTTGACGACTTTTTATGACTCTCCTTTTCTCTCGGTTTGGGTCTGCCAATTTCCTTCTTTTCTTTGGGTTGTTCAGAACTCTGCTTGAGCATGGCGGGATATGGAGAAAGGGAAATGGTATGGGCGGCGGTCAGGGTCAAGGCAAGGGGGACAGTCTTGTCTCGTCTCCGTAGCCTTTACGGAGTAGATGACAAAGCAATGAATGTTGTGGCTACTGGGTACATACCGCTAATGGCGCGAATCCCGAATGCTTGCGCTTGTGCTTGTGCTTGTGCTTGTGCTTGTGCTTGTGTAGAGAGTGGGGATGGGTAGGTGAAAGAAGAAGAGGAAAGGCAAGGGAGCGGCGATGGGTCCGCATCCATCAATCATCATCACGGCACTGAGCTTGAGCGTTTGGCGGAGCATGCAGCGTTACTGTTACTGTTACCGTTACCATTACTGTTACTGTACCGACGGGTGGGTGGGTGACTGGGGGGGAAGACGGAAAAGCCGAGAAGGGCTATGCAGTTCCATCTGAATACCGGTAAACATCTGAACAAAACATCTGAACATGAGAATGTACTTGATTTACAAAGGTAAGAAAATCATCAAAGGTCGCGCGAGCGTTTTCGAGCAGAGAGGAGAGTCGATTGATCTCTTGCCACCTCCCTCCCAACAACCAACCAACTCTCGCAGACAATCTCGGAATCAAACTGGTACATCTACCGTATATGCCCTTTTCACACGTGCGTTCGTTGTCCGACTTTTGCGCGGTTGTGACGTGACTAGATCCAAGGTTCAGATGGTCAACAAGGTCGGTCGGTTCACTGAGAATGCATGCATGGAAAAGCGTGCTTTTGGTACGGTACGGTACCTACGTAGTATATTCGCCGCCAAAAAAAAACATATGCAGCAGCAGCTTTTATTTTTACCCCATGTCGTCATACGGATGGGGATACCTATGGAACCCCCCCAAAAAAAAAAATTAAGCCCCGCGAAATCCGGGGAAGAGGCCCAAGAAAAAAAGACAAAGGAAAAAAAGAAACCCTTCCTTCTTGGCATTTGGATACTTACTACTAAATGCCCGTCATCCTTCGCTGACCGCCCGGATCGGCACTACGAGCTTATTTTGAGACTTGAATAAGAGTGATATTTAAAATATTTTTCTTGTGTGTGTGTGTGTGTGCAGTGTGTGACGGCCATCAAGGACGACAACGACAGCAGGCCACCCATTCGACGGTCGGAGAGAAGGAGCGAACGAACGAACTTACGAACGAACGAACGAACGATGAGCTTTGGAGGACCGGGAGGCGCGGCGCCGAATGCGAAACCTTCTCCGTAGGTGTCTTCTTACTCTTCGTCGTCGTCTCCTGTTGTTGGGCGGGTGGTGGGGGAGGGCGATTGGTGCTGGTGCTGGTGCTGGTGCTGATGCTGATGCTGTGGGTGTGTAGACCGGAGCGTGGGAGTTTCCCGCTGGATCATGATGGTAGGAAATCCCCCGTCCGAGACTGCGAGAGGGAGAAGAGAGAGAGAGTGTGAGAGAGATACGGATGGGGTCGATGGGATCGATGGAGGAAGGGAGGAAGGCAGGCAGCCGATTCAGAATAGGGGCTGATGTGTGCGTTGCAGGCGAATGCAAAGATGTCATGATGAGCTACCTCTCGTGCATCAAGAAGGTCAAGGGCATGAACGACCCCGAGTGCCGGCTACATGCGAAATCTTACCTCTCCTGTCGAATGGATCGGTATGCCGCCCCTTTCCCCCCCTTCTCTTCTCTCTCACAAGGACCGTTGCGGAACGATGGATGGATGGATGGATGGATGGATGGATGAAAAGGCTGACGGGGGCTGTTCACAGGAATCTCATGGCGAAAGACGAATTTAAGAACCTGGGCTTCGTGGACGAGAAAGAGCAGGCCGCTTTGGAACGGCAGAAGACGGACGAGGAGCAGCACAAGGGCGAATTGAGGTGGTGAATAGGGAGGCGCGGAGGTGCTGGATGAGATTGAGATGTATAATATGGCCAAATGGGCGTATCATATGCGGCGTTTGGGTGGGCGTTGCATGGTGATGCTTCGGCGTGGAGATGGAAATACGGGGTAGGCTCTCATCCTAATTCGAGCACTTGACGACAATATCTCAGCTGCCATAGTTCTTTGTGCCCTATTTAATGGGAGCTTCGGCTATCCAGTGGTCGAGGTAAGAAAACCATTGGATCTTCTCAACGACCCAAGGATCATTGGGAACGCTGGGGACTCTGGGGCTATGGGGTAGAGTAGATTCTCCTAGATATGGTGGCTCGTCCTGTGTGTCTACAGCAGAGATAAACCTCTACGTCAATATCCTCAAGGAAAGTTTGCTTCAACTTATCATGACCGCATGATCGTTACTGATTTCCACGGAGTATCTAGCTTTCCTAAGAGAGCTTCTTATCACAAGGAATACAGCGAGTGACACTATTTGTGGAGGATGTACCGAGCTAGAATTTCCATTTTCGGGTTGACCTGAATTTCATAACGACATGCCAAACCGCAAGGCATATAATATGTTGTGGTCAAGGCACATGGTGCGATGGATCTTACAGTTACAAATATACACAGCTACACACACCAGATAACCTTTTTGGATCTCCAAAACTACTCCGCTGTCGCAGCATCCCCCGCAATCGTTCCACCAGCCTGCTTCCACGACTGAGCCATAGCCAAGAAGTTGGAGAACTTTGCCGTCTGCACATCGTCGGCTGGGAACACATAGTCAATGTACTCCTCGTATGTATCGTCGTCCATCTTGCGGCGCTTCTTAAGCTTGCGCGGCATCTGCTTTTGCACCTTCTCGACATCCTCTTCCGTGCCCTGCTCCCTCTCAAATGCCAACCAAGAGTTGAGGAGGGTGACTCGCTCTTCCTTGAGCTCCTTGTCTTTCATGTTCTTCATCGCGCGCTCGAAAACCTTCCTAGCTCTTGCCTTTGCCGCCTCGCTCACAGGCTTCTCCTCGTCATCTTCCTCTTCGTCGTCGTCCGGCACGTTGATCTCGAAGTGGGCGTAGCTGATCCAAACCTTGACGTGATCGGTCTTTTCCAGGAGACGCTCATACAGCTTTCTAGTGCGCTCGTACTCGCCTTCCTCCTCCTCAAAGTCGATATAGGCTTTCCACAGCAATTCTGGCATGTCGAGAGTTGGCTGGTCGATAGCGAGCTCGAAGATAGCCCGGGTTCGCTCGAGATCATCGAGACCCCGCTCGAGCTCGGAGAACTTGATCCAGGCCTGGCAGTTCGATGGGTTCCATTCGATATGCTTCTCGTAGATAGTTCGGCAGCGAACGAACTCAAATAGCTTCAATTCAAGTTCAACGTACCCTTTGAAAAGTTTGTCCTTGGGGCACATGCCGATAGCTTGTCCAAGTAGCTTCCTTGCTGCTGAGAGATTTTGTTGCCGAATCTCAAATTGTGCGTTCATTAACCAGATCTTGGCAAATGTGAACTTCTTGTGAGGGATCAGCTTCCGGCACTCTTGGTAAATTTGTCTAGCTCTCTCCACATCCTTGGAGTCCATCTCTTCCCAGATAGCATAGAAGATCCACAGATAAATGTAGCGTCTCCAATGCCGCTTCTCTTGGGTGGGTGGAATTTGGGCAATGGCTCGCTCGTAGACATCTCGAATACGATCCACGTCGCCACCAGTTTCCTCCAGCCTGGCATAGTCGAACCAAGCATCGTAATTCTTAGGGTTCTCAGTGACTTGCTCCTCATACTGGACTCTTCGCTTCGACAAGATGACATCTTCTACACCTTCCCGATCACCAAATTGCTTCTCGAAGGTAGTGTATGCCTTGTGGAGTGCTACCGACTTGGAACGCGCCAGGCGGTCCAAGGCGTACTTGTAGATGGCTCTGGCTCGCTCATACTCTTTCAGCTTAGCCTCGAATCTGGCATATGCGATGAACAGTCGCTCGTCCATAAAATCGTCACCCAATGCCTCGACAGCAGAGCCAAAGACTTCTCTAACAAGATCACTGGTGCCGTATTCCTCCTCAAATCTAGCCCATTTGATCCAATTCCTAGGCTCTGGATGAACCATCGTGAACCTCTGGAAGATCTCTCTCGCTCTTTGGAACTCGCCGTATCTCTTCTCCAACTTGATATAACTGCTCCAAGCCGCCTCATCTGGCTCCCAAGACATCCACCTCTCAAAGACCTGTCGCGTACCGGGAATATTCCCCAGCATCTCCTCCATGTATGCGTACTTGTACCACAGCTTATCGATTCTGGGCAGGATCGTAACCGCGCGGTCCAGAAGGTTCCTAGCATGCTGGATATTTCTCGTCTTCATCTCCGCCTCTACATATCTGATCCATAGTGTGACAGACGTCGCGTCTACGTCGAGGGCTCTTTCAAAGACAGACCGGGCGCGCTTGAATTCCTTTTGCTCTAGTTCCCATTGCGCATATCGCATCCAGTTGTTCATGTTAATCCTGTTCCTCCGCACATAGTCCTCGAACTCCTTGCGCTTCCTGCCTTGAAACTCATGGAGCTCTTCGAGGTCTGCGAACCGCTGCGTAGGCGCCTGGAGGCCGGGGTCTTGACGGTCGACAGCTTCTCGTAGGAGCTGCTCTGCTGAGATCTGTATTGCGCTGGGCGCCTTGTTTTTGACCCTGGGGGGTCCGCGAGCAGACTCCATGATGGCTTTTGATATTGAGGGTTGTTTGTTTTGTAGCTTTGCGGTAGCTTTGGGTGGTTGGTATTGGGTTGAAGATTTGATCTTTTTTTGTGGAATTCGGGGTTCTTTAGTAGCTCATGAGACAGACTTACGTCCTGTGAAAAGTAATTGAGCAAGACTTCGCAACATGAACCAGCGGCGGTGAGTTCTGCACAGTCGGTGTTGGGTGAAGGCTGTCAAGTGCCCTGATCAGGCTGAGCTAAAATTCAAGGTCACTAGCGTCATTTCTCCCCCGGATTATTATTGCCGACCTGCTCGAGGCTGCAACATCCGTTTGCAACAAAGCACTTCACAACCAAAATGTCGACTCTTGCGGAAGAATTGCTGCAGGACTTCGAGGACTCTGGATCCGAAGGTGAGGGACAAAATGAAGGCCTCTTTCCCGACGACGAAGACACGAAGACTGGACTGAACGGCCACGCGACACACGCAGGCGCAAATGGCAGCATGGAGTTGGATGGCGACGAGGAGGAGGTAGACGAAGATGAGGATATGAGTGGCGTCGCCAACAATGGCCTTGATGTTGAAGACGAGGAGGAAACCAAGGCCAAGGTGGAGAAGATGGAGATGGGAGGCGTCGATGATGTGCGCAGTGTTGCGCGGCTGATGAAGACTTTGGAGCCAGTATTAGAGGTTAGTGCTTTTCATTTACCCCCTTCCACTAAATACATGAGACTTGAGGTTTACATCAATTCCTTTGCGCAATAGCCCTGACATGCAATCGGTCCTATAGAAAATTGCACATTTTCAATCGTTGCCTCCAGAGAAACAGACGACGTTCGTGGGCTCCATCGAGGACAATCCAGAATACCATCTTTTGACGCAGTCAAACACTCTATCCACGTCTATCGACACGGAAATCATGATTGTCCATAAGTTCATACGCGATCATTACTCGGTTCGATTCCCTGAGCTGGAGACACTGGTTACGAATCCTCTGGACTACGCCAAAGTTGTGGCTATTATTGGGAATGGACCTATGGACGGGGATAGCATCAAGGCTCTTCAAACCTCCAAGACCAACCGACTAGGAGTCACCCTACGATCAGTCCTTGACGGACCATCAGTAATGATTGTCACAGTCGAAGCGACCACAACAAAAGGCCGAGAAATGACCCAGGTAGAGCTCGACCGAGTAAATATAGCCTGCGACATGAGTCTTGCTCTCGACAAAGCCAAGCGTACTCTAACAGACTACGTCCAATCTCGAATGAATCTCTTCGCCCCGAACCTCACAGCCCTGATTGGATCGTTGACAGCAGCCCAGCTCATTAACTTCGCCGGTGGTCTCACAGGCCTCGCCAAAACTCCCGCCTGCAACCTCGCCCCCTTGGGCTCCAAAAAGCAGTCCGGAACCGGCTTCGCAACCAATGTTGGAGTACGGCAACAAGGTTTCCTCTACCACTCGCCCATCATAAAAGGTATCCCTAACGATCTCAAACGCCAAGCAATGCGTATCGTCTCGGCAAAAGTCGTCCTCGCAGCACGAGTCGACCGAGTTCATAACTCGCGCGACGGCCGCACAGGTGAGGAGCTCAAAGCCGCCTGTCTAGAACGCCTGGAGAAGCTCACCGAGCCACCTCCGAACAAAGGTCAAAGAGCCCTCCCTGCACCCGACGACAAACCAGCACGGAAGCGCGGTGGACGTAGAGCCCGAAAAGCGAAGGAGGCAACCGCCATGACTGATCTCCGGAAAGCACAGAACAGGATGACGTTTGGTAAGGAGGAGAAGGAGGTTGGATATGGAACGGGCGAGGGTACTAAGGGTATGGGCATGATTGGGCAATCGAACGATGGCCGCATTCGTAATTTGCAGGTCGATAAACGCACGGCTGCCAAGCTATCCGCAAAGAACAAGGGCTGGGGAGGCGCTACACCCGTCGGAGGCTCTGCCTCTTCTCTGCGCGGGTTCGGGCAAGGCGCAGGTGCCGGAATTGACCTTCGTGGCAAGGGTCTCCGGGCTTCAGGCGTGGGCTCGACAGTAGGTGCCGGGTCCGGTACCGCTTCGTCGCTGGCGTTCACACCCGTGCAAGGACTGGAGCTGGTAGACCCCAAGATGCAGGCGGAGATGAGTCGGAAGCGAAAGGCGGAGGAGGACAGATGGTTCAAGGGCGGGACCTTTACGCAGGTCGGTGGTGCGAGCGGAAGCGGGACCATGGGACCTCCGCCCCTGCCGCCGAACAAGAAAGTCGACACGGGCGCCGGGAAGGGAAACATGGCGCCGCCGCCACCGCCTCCGAAGAAATGAACAGGTTGCGTGCGGTGGAGCTGGGGTATGGGGAACGGAGGGAGGGAGGGGCAAGAGGGAGGGGTTTCTGGCAGTGTGGCGCGGCGTTCAGGGCATGGCATGGCATACGGAAGGCGTTTACTGACAATGCAGGCAGATATGTACGGGCTAGCTAGCTAGCTGGCTAACAGACAGGTAGACTTGGCTAGATGACCACTTCGTTCGCAGCAACCCATACATACACATATGCATATATACATACGCACATGCATACATACGGGCGTACTGTAGGTAGGTGTGTAGGTGCCAAGGGCAAGGGCAAGGGGCTTCCTTCCTTCCTTCTTCCTTTCTTTCCTTCTTTCTTCTCTGTATGGTACAATACCATACCCGGACGCGTGCAGATAGATACGGAGTAGATAAAGTCGTTAGTTAGATCGATCGATACGGTAGATCTTCGCCAAAGTCTATTCATTCCATTCATTCCATTCATTCCATCCACTCACTCACCCGCCAGCCAGCCAGCCAGCCAGCCACTCAGTCATCATCCATCTCCTTCTTTTATCTTCTGATCGGTACCGTAGCAGCATCATATTCAGTCATCATTTCTCTTCGTCTGGATGCCGATAACCGTGTCACACGCAGATTGGATAGCATGAGGTTGGAAGGGCCGTTGGGTTGATATTGCTGTGCATTATAGATATACGTTTGTACTATCCCCCCCCATGAATAAATGTCGAAAGTATAATTTCGCAAGGAATCTTACTAGGGCTTAAACCAATCAACTCATAAGGATTCAGCTTTGAAAAGTATTATTTAGCCTATACAGTGGAGTTGGCAGGGCTTTAAGCCATTAAGAAACCACCGCTCTATGATTTATGGGCCTAAACTGGGTCCGACATTTATTCATGGGGGGGGATAGTATATACTGTATACACCTTACAAATGATTGATTGGTAGATACCGAGCCAAGTGTCGGCTACGCTGCCAAGAGACGCCGTGACGGGAGATCGTGCATGACCTGATCAAATCTGAACAAAGAATGGAAATCTTTTGTTGACCTCATTCTCTCTTTTAAAACTCCTCCCCGAATCTACATATAACAACAGTAGCTCGCAAGCTACGTACGAGTCGCAACTCATTGGAGGTATCACGTTTCTGGCCCTGTCCCAAAGATCCCAGCCGTGTATTTCTTGTATCCCACCAAAAGACCCAAACCTGTTCCCGCCTGAAAGCCTCAAAGCCGTCCACCCCAAGACCGTATAGTTCGTGATAACATCAAAGTCAGAGAGACAAGCGATGTTGGAGACCGCGCCGAGATATCTATATGATATAAGCCGGAGGTATTTCAACGCCACCCAGATTGTTCTACCTGATAAACGCCAGACAACCGAAAAATTGAAATTAGAGAGACACGCCATTTGCCTTGAGAAGATCAGTGCAATCTATATACAGCCCCGGGGCAGGAGCCCTTGGACCTTCCATGCATGACTGAGTGGAAGGATGTGTCGTAAGAGAAATCCGTGGATCTGACACGTCACCGGGTGTGGTCTGACGGAGCAATGGTTGCGGAAAAGATTCCCGAGCAGGTCAGGATCGGTAACGAGAGTCCGAGGCAATGGCAGCTAAAGCGTCAAGGCCGCTTGACATACTATCGCGTCGGGAACTGATAGGCGACGCGTAGAAAGGCGGGGAGACTGCTCCGTATGGTGACATCGTCGGCGGTTGCTGGTACAGCGCAGGGTCCACAGGAAAGTCGACTGCAGAGCCGGTATTCCGGCTTGAAGGACGACTTCCCATGGATGACTTGCGCACGCCCGACGGCATCGTGAGAGTCCGCATGGCGGTGGACTTCTGCGCTGTCGAAGCACGGGAGCGTTCCTTTGTATGCGTCTCGAGATGTTGCTTCATATTGTCTCCGCGAGTGAACTTCTTCTGGCAGCCTTGCCAGGTGCAGGCGACTGATTTTTCCGCAGTGTGGATCTTGGAGTGGCGCGATGCGTGGCCGGAAGTGGTGAACGTCCTGTCGCAGTTGTGTGTGTCCTTATGGCGGCAAGGATATCTCTTCGGAGCTCGTTCTTGGGGAACACGACTCTGAGGATGATAATGGTCCTCGTCAAACATTCGAGGTTCGGGGTAGGACGTTCGACTCGAGTACCCATTGAGCGCTGGCAAGGCGTACAAGTGGCTCGGAGAGTACTCCTCCATACTCGGCAGCGCTTCGCGATAGTCAAAGTGGGCTTGGGCTTTGTTTCCGGGATATGACGGCGGCCTGCCAAATTCCTGAACCAAGTACGTCGGGGTGGTTGGCGAGCGCGCATCATTGTTGTTGTGGGAGTCGCAGGAGTCTGCCCGGACCAGATCGGGTACAAGTGGAGAAGACGTCCGGCTTTGTGTAGAAGTGGCCGAATGTGATCGAGCCATATTGAAAGGGTCATAGGTTGCGAACGGGGAATGGTGAAGGGGCATATAGGCGGCCTCGTGCACCGCCGGCTCGTCGTTGAGGAGAGAGACCCGACGACCTGAACTATCGCGGGCGTGCATCTTGGGCCTCTCTGTCATGGTAGGGATTGACGACCGGTCCAGACCTTCGAGATACGAAGGGAGAGTGGGAGGTAAAGATTTTTTGATTTTTTTTCTTTCAGAACGTAGACGCAGTGGCGAGATGTATATCTCGAGGACCGAGACAGTGGGTGTGTGTATGTGGTGGTGGTGGTGGTGGTGATGATGCTGGTGATGGTGATGGTGGTGGTGATGGTGATGGTGATGGTGATGGTGACGGTGATGGTGATACTGATACTGATACTGATACTGATACTGATATTGATGTGAAGAAGTCAAGATGCGAGGTGGCGAGGCAGAACAAAAGAAGGGGTGGGAGAGGTAGATGAAGATGGGATTGTGATGATGTTATGGCATTTGTGTGGAAAGGCGCTAAGTAGCCGGGGTAGCGAAGCTAAAGTCGAGCCAGGGGCCCACAGCTTTTACTTTGGGCTTTTTGCTTTGAGCAGGAGGGCCGAAGTGGATCAAAGTGGGTCAAAGTGGGTCGGGTGGGGTTTAGAGTTTGGGAGCAGTAGGGCTTCGGCTTTGGCTTTGGCTTTGGCTTTGGGGGGGGGGGGAGGGAGGAGGTTAGAACTTAGGAGGTACGGTTTGGGTTGGGTAAGCTTGGTTTGATTAGACGGCCGGAAATGTAATCCAAATTTAAGGAGAAAAAGGAAAGGAAGAAGAAGAAGAAGAAGAAGAAGAAGACGGGGAGAAAAAAAAAAGGGATCAAGATATCAAGAACCAAGAGCGCAGGGCGGAGGCACGACCGGAGGGAGCACTGCAGCAATGACTGGCACGTCCAAGTACCTACTGTACTAGTACATCCATTGGCGGCCCTGTCAGTCGTTTCTTCCCTTCCCTCCCCTCCCTTCCTTCCTTCAGGAGACATTCTCCGCGCGAGACCCTGACTGGACAGGAGGGTGACTGGACTGGACGGTGATTGGACACGAGGGTGACTGGGCAAGAGGGTGACTGGACTGGAGCAGCAGGCGGGCAGGCCTTCTTCCATGATGTGGGTGGCATTCGGAATCGGGACTATGCCACTTGAGACACGAAACACGGGAAACACGGGAAACACGGGAACGACGTCGAGAATGGCATGGCATGGCATAGCATAGCACGACACGACAGGAAAGAGAAGTCGGTCGGTCGGTCGGTTGGTCGGTTGGTTGGTCGGTCGGTTGGTCGGTTGGTCGGTTGGTCGGTTGGTCGGTCATTGGTCCATAAGGCTGTTTTGATAGAGGAGGTTCCATAGGTACCTATCCATGTATATAAAATGTACCGGTATATAACATGTATATAAGCATGTATATAGCATGTATATATGTCTCTCTCTCTCTGTCGCTCTCTCTCGCTCTCTCTCGCTCTCTCTCCCCTTCTCTCTCTACATCTCAACCTACCTAGACATATTTCTATATATCTCTCGCTCTCTCCCTCCCTCCTCCCTCCCTCCTCCCCCCCCCTCCCCCTCACTGATCGACCCTTGATTGCACGCCACTCCCCTCCACCACATCATCACCACATCATCGTCGTCGCTCTACTACTCTACTATACACCTACATACCTGGCTGTTGTTCTTTGCACGTTGTTGTGCCAGTTTTCCCTGTATGATAGATCGTAGTAAGCCAGACGTCACCTCATCTCCAAGTCCATTTCTTGGCGATCGGTTCCCGAGCTCACGGCCCTCGCCTCTCCTCCCTCACCTCCCTCAACCCCCTCAATCCCCCCTGCATCCGGCTGGCGGGCTTGCTATTGTCTCTTGGGCGTCTATGGAAAATGCATGAATAAATGAATGCATGAATGAATGAATGAATGAATAAATGAATGAATCAATCAATCAAGAACTAGAATGGGTTGGGAAATGCAGGCAAACAAAGAGCCCAGAAACCAGTCCAACAGTCAGCGTGGGCGGCGGCGGGCAGCGGGCAGCGGAGTACCCTCCGGCTGCCTGTATGAGGACGATCTTTCGATCCCCGTCTTGTTATTCGATCTACTCGTTCGCAGGGTCGGGGGCCTGGACCCGGAGAGAGCTCCTCTCCCCAGTCCACACAGTCAGCAGCAGCTCTCAGCTCTCAGCTCTCAGCTCTCAGCTCTCAGCTGTCAGGGTCCGGCTGGCCACCGCTATAGCGCTGTAGCGCAAACAGCAGCGATCAGCGAGTAGTGGCTGTACCGTACGACTTTCGTTGGTGCGTTGCTTTGGATTTTTCCTTTTTCCGTTGGCTCGGTTACTCTCTCCGATGACTGTACGGATTAATATGGATTCAGGGTCCATGGATGGAAGGGAAAAGGGTTAGATCGGGTTAGCCTGACCGACCTACGGCAGCCGTGGGGGAAAAAAAGAGAAGGCAAAGAAAAAAAAAACAGAAAAAAAAAAGGAAAAAAAAAGAAAGAAAAAAAAAAGATTCGAGAAAGAAAGAAAATCGAGCGCCCCGCTGGCTGTGAGCACGGCGTTGCCTGTATCATACGAACTGTCCCGTACACAATGGTTGGGCGTGTTGATGCATTGCATTGCATTCCCATTCCCATTCCCATGCCCATTCCCATGCCCATTCCCAAGCCCATTCCCAAGCCCATTCCCATCCCATCCCGTCCCGTCCCATCCCATCCCATCCCATCATCGCTCGGCCATCTGATCCGGACCAATTCCTCTCTCCTCTCTCCTCTTTCTCTACATCGGGAAAAGTTTCGATTCTCTCGATTGTCGAGGCATCAACAGTAACCCGCATCGCATCGCATCGCATCGCATCGCATCTCCCCCCATGACCTCATCGCTCTGGGCCCCTCATTTAGAGTTTCCCACACCAGATCGAATTTTGAAGGAGGGATCGAGATTCACAGGGCAATCTTCAGTCGCCCGTTTGGAGAAGCGAAAGTCTAATGGAAGGCCTTACCGAGCCCAGCAGGGGAGGGGGGAGGGACCGGCCCAGGCTGGATGCCGGTCGAGAGTCAGTCGCGCAAATTGGCTGCGATGTGCAACAAAACCCTAATTTGGTGCTGAGGAGAAACGTCGGGGTAGCGACCAGCCTCGTTCGACCAATCACGGTGCCGGATGTGATGTAAACTTACTATATATAGTATATATAGCCTATATAGCACATATAGTAAATATAGTATGTTAAGTATATATATACCATATCGTATATGAAGTATAACCATCCCCGTTCCCGTCCGGCCTTGTTTTCCGTACGCTAGTACTTTCTTCCGTCTTTCCCTTTCAAGATATCTTGACTGTCACATACTACGTACTACCTTACTACGTCGTATCCGTTACCTAGTTGTACGACTAAATCAGGCTCATACGGTAAAGGTCGGTAAGGTAGGTAGGTAGGTAGGTAGGAGGTACCCAGGTAGGTATGCTCCGCCCGGCTCTCCCACCTCCCACTCACACTTTCCGCGCGGAAACCAATCAACTCTCAAGGGGGTCCCCCGGAGACACCTCCGCCTCCTCCTCCGCCTCCGCCTCCTGACAACTGAAGCCTGTCTTGCCTCAGGTTGGCCTGGCCCCCCCCCCCCCAACGCAAAGCCGACACTTACCGGTATCACAAACACCAAACAGTACGTCGTAGGTAACATGACATGACAACCGCCGTGCCATGGTTGGGGAGGCCCCCCCCGCTCGCGAGCCCCTTCCCTTGACAGAGGTGGATTGCTGCTATAACCACATCAGATATGCCCGGCCCCTCTTTCTGATTCATCGTACTCGTACTACACACACACATACCCACCTACGGAACAGAGTACCGGTACCTAACCACGGGCGCCGGCCGGAGCTGGACCTCCTAGCGAGGAAGAAGCGGCCGATCGATCCCCAAGTAGCATTCAATTTTTTTTTTTTTTAAAAAAAAAATTTTGAACTCGGAAATGTTTAAAAAAAAAAAAAAAAGGTTAAAAAAGAGAAATGAACAAATTTCACTCAGAGAGTCAGACCGCGGGGAATCGGCTCGCGACCATCGGGGAAATCATAACCATGTACGTATTGTATCTATTGACGGAAAGAAAAACGAATCGGCAATCTTATTTCTATTGCTCGAGACATCGGCATATTACTACGTACTACGTACGTGCGAATATTAGGGTATAGTACGGCAAAGTCATAGCGAGCATCGCCGGTGCGGTTGCGGGCGGTTGGCTCGTGGGTGTGATGGGTACGGAACGGGAAGCTGCCAGCTCTGGCCTCTTTCTCGCTGGGGGACTAAAGAAGTGGGTAAATAGGGCAAGTATCGATATTCAAGGGACTGAAGAAGTACGTAAATACAGCAAGTATCGTTATTCAAGAGGTGGAGGGCGCTTGCTGTTCTGTTCCTCGAGACGGGTGGAATGAATGTCCCAGGACGAGGGAAAGACACGGATCACGTCTACGGATGTTGTGTTTGTTGATTGTAGGTTGACGACGGACTTGAATATATATGTGACGTTGTTCCATTGATTGATCGGGTTGGCTGCTACCCTTATAATTAGCGGTGATATAATATTTTTATAGAGCGGAAATACGATTTCTGAGCTAGCTAGACAAACTGATGGGTATAGTACCGGTAGGTATGTAATTAGAGTTAGAAGAAGAAGCGAAAAGGATAAACGAGAAAGGGGGGGGGTAGGGGGGGGGGATTGAATTTCAAGATGATAACAATAACAACAATGATAATGCCAATTAGGTAATTCCCTTCCAGAGTCCGATCTCGATGAGATCGACGATGTATCAAAGGTGTCCCTATCCAGGTCCCTACCTCTCCATCCGTCCTCTCGTCCATTTCTGATCTGTTTCTGATCTCCGTCGACCCATTTATGGTTAGGATAGGTTAGGTGGGTTAGGTTAGTTTAGCTGGCTATCGAGTTTAACCCCGTCGATCGATAACTTGGCATGTCATATCATACACCCCACGCCCGCAGCTGAGAAAAGAGATCGAGAGGTGGGAAGTTTAAAAAAAAAAAAAACTACCTTCAGCGAAACCTTGACGTACGTAGCACTTACTACGTACGTAGTAGTAGTAGTAGTTAGTACCTGCCTACGGATCCGGCCAGAGATTCCCCATGCCTACCTACTCGACATTAGTAGCACAGTAGGTAGAGCATGGACATTACTAGTAGGAGAGCATGGACGTGAGGAGAAGCATGGATCTCAGGAGGAGCATGGACATGAGGAGGAGAAGCATGGACGACAAATGAGGAAGGAGAGCATGATTTTCTGCACGCCTCAACACCCCAAAGGTGAATGAATGACGCTCGCTCTGTGCCAGCCGGCGTTTCCCTAGTGCGCGTCACGTAAGATAGGTAAATAGGTCGGCGAGCCGGGCTGCATGTAACCGGTAGTAGCAATGAATGAAACGAACGGCCTTGTGGAAACCCATAACCCGTACCGGTACCGCTCGACGTACGGTACGGTACGGTACCCCATTCCGGGAAACCAGCCATGCCTCTCCGCGCGAGCGAACCTAAAATTCAAGCTAAAGCGGAGAGCAAATAGTAGTAAGTAGAAGAGGCGCAAAAGCCGTTTTAAGATACGTGTCGAGGGACCTAGGTACTACAGTACCTACTACAGTACCTACTACGTACTACGTATGCGGAATCATCATGGATCCACCATGTTCGAGGCACGAAAAAAAAAAAAGCATAAGAGGGAAAATCTCTCGCCTGGGGGAGACGTTGACGGCCCCGAATAAGGATATTTCCGAGGTTTCCTCATATCGGAAAAGCTTGGCACCTCCACGGCGGTGCTGCACCGGTACTGTCCCCCCCCCCCCCCCAAAATCCTAAGGATGGCTGGCACGAGACGAGCCAGAACACAGCAAGGGAAAAAGTCACCACGCCGAAGTCTCCCTCCCTCTCCGTCCCAGCAGGTATAGAGTTGCGTTTATGCGTAGAGAGCTAATTCCTTGTTGGGTTGGGGTGAGGGAAGGGGGGGGGGGGGGGTTATCAGCAGAGTAAAAAAAAAAAAAAAGAAAAAGGAAAAGAAGAAGAAAGAAGAAAG